TCTAGCTCTTTCAGAGTAATTGGATCAGAAATATTCTTGTACCAGCAGTCTTGAATGTTGTTTATAGGTTTGTATTCATCTTCCTACTCCTTCCAGTGGTTCTAGTCTGGAGAGTTCAGCTTTGTCCAGTTTTCATAATGCATTTGTACTTTTTTTTATATTCATTCTGGTTCTGTAATGACTTCATCTGCTTTGCATATATTGTGAAGTAGGACTGGGTTAGTATGTTTTTTTAGTATGCTATTAATCATGTAGGTAGTGTTGTTATTAAAGTCATTGTATCTTTTGCTGATGTATTTGTTGATTGTACTTTGGTGAGCGAGGTTATTTTCTAGTTTTCTGGCTTGATGTATTGTTTTTTGCTGAACTTTTAGCTGTATGATTAGTGCCTCCTTGTTGGTGGGTATCAGGTCCTCTGGTATGATGTGGTTGATTTGTATTTCTGTTTTGTTGTTGATATAGTCTATATTCTCATTATATGTTTGTATTAGGGTGTTATTGGAAGTTTGTGTGTTTGCTTGTATTTGTCTTATTAGTTTGTTGATGTGCTTAAGGGCTGTGTGGAGTTTAGTGACTTTGGTAGAAAAGGTATAGAAAGTTCGAGGTTGGATTTTAATTCTGGGTATGTTCTTTTTAGCTGCTGTGATAATTGCTTAGTTGAGTTCATGCCATTGTTTGTTTAGTATGCTAGCATTTTTTATTTCTTGTGTGGTTGTATTTTCTTTTAGATAGGTTGTAATTGAGCTTGAAAATTCTGTTCACAGGTCTGGTGTCATTTGGTCATATTTAAAATTTTCTCTTTTCCTTTGTTTTTGTCTGTTGTTTTTTATTTAAGGGTTGTATGCCCATTGTAGTTGCATTATCTGGTGATCGCTGTCTGTTCTTCCATTCGAAGGAATTATTTGAGGAGGTGTTATGTTATGTATGAGTTGTGTTAGGACCCAGATGTCATCTATTTGGCTGTTCATTTCTTGTCGGCTCCAGGTAGGGTCTGTAATGTTAAAGTAGTCGAGTGTGCTAAGTAGTCCATTTAGTTTTAAGGTATTGAAGAGTAGAGCTATTTTCTTTTTGGGTTTTCTGTCGATGTTGAAGTCTCCAAGGACAATTGTATGATAGCCTTTGGCTGTTGCCTGGTTTATCTACTGTGTTATTGTTTGCTGTATGATCCTATTAAGAAGGTGGTTTGTAGTTGGTAAATAGATGGAGATTATTCGAATTTTGTTTTTGTTTGGAAAAAAAAAGTCTATTGTGATAGCTGTTCCTGGTTCTGTTATGATGTTATGAATATAAGGTCTTAGTGGTTTGGTAATTGCAATTGCAGTACCAAGGCTTGTTTCTCTTTTGACTGCTCGTTGGGCATTGCAGTTTGAGGTGTATACGTAGTAATAAGGATTGCTTGTAGATAGTTCTGTATAGCTTGAATCAGCTAATTTTGTTTCT